CAGCAATCGCTGCCCCCCCGGCCAACTCCACCCCAATTTATATATTCGGCATGATGTCGTATGGTATGGAATATCCCTTTGGCCAGTTTGGGGCAGGTGTCTTGGCTGTGCTCCCTCCCAGCTTCTTGTGCACCTGGCAGAGCATGAGAAGCTGAGAAGTCCTTGATTTAGTGTAAGCACTGCTTAGCAACAACTAAATAACTAGTGTTATCAACATTATTCTCATACTAAATCCAAAAAACAGCAGTATACCAGCTACTAGGAAGAAAGTTTCCCAGACGAAACCAGGACAATTACATATCAAATAGTTTCTGCTTTCTCTGTTTCTGTCTTGTGTGTTTTAAAGGGGTGCGAGCTGTTTCATGTTCTAAAACTTTTGTCCTTTCATCATTACTAAATGTGATGAAATTAAGAGGGAAGAAATAATTACCAGTAAAGGGAATAGAGGGATTGTTATTTCTTGCCATGATGAAATTCAGCTGAGTACTGATAGTGTCACAAAATTGACCCTTTCTGCCTGTTTGTCTCCCAATTTTTCTAAAATTGCAAACTCCCCAAAATCAAATACCGATCTTTTATTTGATTAGCTGCCTGGGCTTTATAATTCTGGATTATTACAACTAATTTATGACAACTTTTGCAGTCTAGAAGTTTGATTTCAGCCCACACTGGACCTAAACCAAAATAATTTGAATGCTTTTCTGAAGAGGATTCTGTCTTGTAAGAATCTTGGGGATTTAGGTTCAGGAGAGGGGTCTGAAAAAGATTTTGTACCCAACCTTTTTGAGGCTCAGACCTTGTCTTCGTTAGTTTTCTGTCCTTACACTACACCATTCTTAGTCAGGAGAAGCAGGTACTTGGGTTTGTGTCTCCAAACAATAAACTAATGTTGGACCAGTTGGACTCCAACAGGGAAGCTCTGACTCTGTAGATACAAGAAACTTCCACCTTCCTCACTCCTCTGCCACATATTATTTCCTTTCTAGCAGAGTCAGCAGGATGGGACAGTGAGTGGGTCTTAACTGTTTCAGTTTAGTTTGGCTTATACAAGCATTAGGGCATGTAGAATAGGACATCTGTTCATCATTATGTTTAACTAGATGTTAAATATGTAATAAGATTCTTATTAAACTATCAAAAAAAGGCTGCTTCTCTCTTTTCTGAAAAGATAACCGCTTACCATTTTGAGCTATATGACCTGTTCTGCTTTTGCAGTGGTCCGGAGTTACTCTTGATAGCAAACACCTTTGCCAGAATTAGAGTGAGCTGAGTTATTAATAGTATTAATATTTGGCGCATATAATGCTTTTCATTCTCAGATCTCAAGCCATTTGCGATTGAGAATGTCATTCCAGTTTTACAGGTGACTTAAACTGAGAAATTTGTGTTCTTTGAGGTTCTGTGGCACAGAGGTGGCAGAAACATGAACAGAATAGAAAGTTGTTTTACTTCCTAGAGCTCTGTTTAAATCCCCAAACTTTGCTCTTTTTCTATATTTTTCTGGAGGAAGAATGGGGGAGAGAAGGTAAGGAGGTAATTTGAAGTACTTCCATTTTTTTTAAGTTAAGGCCAATTGTTAAGTTTATTCCTCTAAATGTCCAATTGTGTTTTGTGGTTTCTTTTTCTGTGCTACCTGGGTTGGACAGCGTCCTGCCAGTGGCCCTAACCTGAGGGCCTTAAGTCATACCTCTAGGTAATATCTGTTGTCTACCTCTGTTTCTTGGGATTTTGTACTGCGTTTCCGCTAGGTATTAAAAGGTTGCAAGGCACTTGCACTCAGTCATCCATATTTTTGAATTATTTGCCTGGTCCTGGTCTTTTGCAGTAGCCAACCAGCACTCCTCCATACACTTGCTTGCATGATTTGGGAATGGTCATGGGTCAGAACCCATTTTCAATAGGCAATTTGTATGTGGCCACCTTGTTTTGGAGGTTGAGAGACTTTAATGGTGTGAACACGGCCAGAGCATGCCGTTGGGCTCTGATGTTATGTACAACTAGTCTAGTTACACGTTTATGGTCCAGCTGTCCAGGTTATGAAACCAGGCCCTCTTAAACTTACTGCGTAGCTCTTGCCTGCTTTTTTCTTTTGAAAAACCACCAACCTATGGTTTATAACTTAACCCTTCAGAGCCCCATAGCGGGTAAACCAAGAAGCATGTTTTATATGTGAACTTCTATCATCACTGGCTGTTTAGGCAAAATGGAGAAAGCTCTTTGCCCGGCCTCTTGCTTGTGGCCTTCCAAGTTTGAGGCTTTGGGAAGGCACTTCGTAGATGACTATGTACCAGCGTTTGGTGGTTGATGCTTTTTGCAAATTGTGGGGTGGAGGCCCAGGCTTCAAGGTAGCCCTGTGGAGCTGTACAGACCTAGGTTTACATCACTGTACTGTGTTCAAGCTTGCTTGGGATTTCTCTCTCTCAGCTGCTCTTTCTGCTGTTAGGTTCTAGCCATTTTTGCAGGTGGAAGTCAAGCACAAACACGTTGACCGTTTGGACCCAAGCAGAAGGCAAGGCAGCTTCTGATGCCTTCCCAGCCCTGACAATACTGAGCAATAGATTATTTATGCAGCCAGTCTCTCTGTAGATTTTACTTACCAAGTTATAATCCATACTGATTCCCTTTGCTTCTATTCCTACACAATAGTATTCTGGGAAAAACAGGGAAAACCAAGTTTAATGTTGGACATTGATTGTAAAAAGAGTGCTTTTTAAGAAGTGCTATTTAATTGTTATTTCCTCTTCCATTAAACAGCTGACTGTTACTGTGGAAAAGCTGGCTGCTTTATTAGAAAACAGTCAGAAGTTTGTTTACCAGTGACAATGTGAGTGAATAAGTGAAATGATATAATTCAAATTAATTTTTATTGCTAATGGGCTGATGCTTTTCTTCTGGGAGTAAAGCCATAATATTGAGATATTATTTTTAGGCCTTGCTGGAGATGGTGTTTGGTGCCAAGGTGGTTGTCACTGGTGACGGATTTGTTCCTGGGGAAAGGAGTGTCATTATCATGAACCATCGCACACGAATGGACTGGATGTTCCTGTGGAACTGCCTGCTGCGATACAGCTACCTCAGACTGGAAAAAATCTGTCTCAAATCCAGTCTCAAAAGCATTCCGGGATTTGGTAGGTCACTAAACCCTTTGAAAGGAAAATGTGTTTAAATTTTGCACAGCACTGTACATAGCCTGTTAAATGACCTAGGTTTAAATTCTATTTCAGTATTTTTTAAAAAACTTGTGTAAAATATGTGGTATATTGAGCAATTAAACCATAAATCTCCCAGAGGACACCTGGACTACATGCTTAAGCATTTCTTTTTAAAGATACTACATGTGCTCTGTTGCTTATAGGTAAAAATATTTCTGCTTTACATACTGAAAGCATTTTTCAAAATTATGAAAAAAGATTTTGAGTCTTTTCAAAGTCTCTTTCAACACTTTGTTTTTTGGTGCTATTTCACCCCACATTGCAAATGCTCTCATCAGGCTTCTTTCTTCATTATCTAATTTATACTATTGAGAAGATTTTTTTTTTTTTTAAAAAAAGAAGAAGAAAAGAAAGAAAAAGCCCTGTAGGCAATTGCAAAGTTGATGGTTCATTTTAATAACTGTAGTTTTAAATTGAACTTGGTTACGCAAAATATGCTGTACAGGATATGAAATAATCAGTATTTATATTGATGTAGGCTGGAAACGGATCTGAGTTGCACACACTCAGGGAAATCGTTTCAGATGGGCCAAAAATTGTTGCACAAATGGTTTCTGAATAAATAGGCAGACTTATCTGAAATAAAAGCATCTCTTTGCATTTTATTTCTCTCTTAGATTTATTTGCTGTTTTATACAAAACTAGCTTGGGCAGGATATGCGTCAACTTTACGATGTCAAAAGAGTAACCTTATTTATGGTTCCTTTTTGTCAGGCCATTTATCTGAACAGATAATTTTGGCAGGATTCCACATGGAGGAACTCTCTTACTGTTGCGCTGTTATTGAATTCACTTGCTGGGCCTTTAGTCCTCTTCAGTAAGAGCTACAACTAGGTAGCATACTTTTTTCCCTAACGGTCAGACATTAAGGTCAATTTTACTTGACAAAAAACATCTCTCTTAATGTTACAGGAAATGAGAAAATAAGTATTTAGATAAATGTTTTATCTTCATAATACAGCAGAGATGTTTTGAAATCTTGGAATCAGCTGCAAATGCAACTTTTTAAAGCAATGATGGAAGATGGAATCAGGAGTCTGGAAGATTCATAAGTTTATCTCCTCAAAAGTAGCTTTTTTTTTTTTTTTTTTTTTTTTTTTTTGTAACAAAGCGTTTGTATGTATGCTTGTTAATGCCTTTAATAAAATTGGAAGGTCAGCTCCAGGAGCTTGGATGTTATGTTATGCTTGGCAAAATTTGGTTCCTGAGAGGGTGTCAGGAGCTGTTTAGAGGTTGATCTCCCCCTCCCCCTCCCCCCCCCTTCAATTCTCAGTTCTGTGCATAAACTGAGCACATCTAATAGATTTGATGAGTAGGCTCAGGCAGATGGAGCTGTAGCAGGTCAATGTTAGCAGACCACGATGCCGCCTTTGTTCATAGTCTGACATATTAGCTTAAGCCACTTATGAAATTCTGAGCTCATACTCCACTTTGTGGGCTGTGATGGTAGAGGTGGCACAGGCAGACATTTATTCCTGTTGTTTGTGTTAACAGGATGACAATTTCTGGCAGTAGATTGGGTGCCTGGCTCTGCCTGTAATGTTATAAACCACCATTTATATGCCAGATCCCCAAGCACCCTCCACAGTCTAGGGGCTTTGAGTACTTTGGTTGCAATGTTGTGAATTTTAGCTTATTTTTTAGTAGACTTTTAATGTTGTGTTATTAGTCACAGGAGAGGAATCCAGCTAAACTACGTCCTTCACTCAGGCCATAATTTGATAATCTAAAATCATAGATGTTCAGCTTCTCTTCTACCACAGCGTATCTAAAAAGAGGCCTTAGAAATACGTCTCCATGTTCAGTCAGCCTGTGTTTTGGGTGGCAGATTCTTGCAAAAATAGAGTATTCTGTATAGCCACGTCATTAGGGGACAGTTGGAAAGTGAGACTCTTGGATGAAATTAAGATTGACAGAAGATTTCCTCATGAATCTGTACGAAGTTTGGTGGGGCAGTGATATAGCAGAAAATGGTGTCCAAAGTGGACAACCCTGAATCTCATCAGTAAGAGCAGAATTTCTCCTACTTATCTCTAATGGCCCTGCTGTGTTATGTGATAGACTTTTAATAGGTGTTTGTCAGATTTTGGTTTTGTTTTTGTTAAATTGTGTCCAGTGGTTTCACATAAAATTTTTGTTTATTTTATGAGCTTGTAAAGACAAGATGATAACTTGGAAATCAACTGGACAGTTTCAGTGCACTGCAGCTATAGTTGATACGTTAGATGTTGATCACTTAAGGTATAATATTTGTGGAAATTAAAACAGCTACTTTCATCATGTCTTTCAGTTTCATCTTTTCATATATTTATACGAATTAGTTGTACATAGTCAAAAGTATAGGATTATGGAAGTATTGATATATTGGCTAAATGTAACTTCTAATAAATCTTTACCTACTGGTAATTTTGCTTTGAGTTTGAGAAATATTTGAATGAATATACTGTATTGCTTTAGCGCAATTTTTTCTGATCTTTCAAAGGATTTTTTTTTTTTTAAGCATTTCATTTAAAATTATGTGTAAGATAAGGTTTATAATGCAACCCTTTAATTTCCATGTTACTGAAAACCTTGCGAGTATTAAGCATTGCACCTTTGTTGTTATAAGTACTATCCCAGTTGGGGTGTAAAAATAGGTCTATGAGAGATTATACTGATCCAGGTAGTATATATGATAGGTGAAGGGCAAAGCTTGGAATGCAAATAGATCCAGAGTCCTTGTCACCCCCTTTGTAGGTTAAAAGTGTAAAGGTATCAGATTTAATGAGTCTGTATTACAAGTAGGCAGTTACTTGCTAGTTAATAATAATTAAAATCAGAGGAGTCAGTATTTCAAGGAGAAGCATTGAGTCACTTATCTAGTTCTTAAGCCTTTGCATTCCAGTGCATGAAAAAACTTTAAATTGATTAAAGGTGAGCCTTAAAAAAAGAAGCCCAAAGAAAAACAGATGGTCCTTTCTTCCTGGAACCGTAGCTTTGGCTTGATAAATTGTGTGCAGTAAAGTTTTCAAAAAGAGGTATTACATTTCAGTAATCTCAATTTCAGAAACATTCTTGCATCGTTTCAGTACAACTTGCCAAAGTTGGCGTCTCGAGGGAGCACTACTCTGCTCTTAGCTGTTGCTGCAGTTTCTCATCTGACATCATCAGAAACCACTGACACATTCTGCAGTGTCAGTTTTCAAGGAGAATTTCTAATGGCATTGACAGTTACCTGCATAGTCTGACAAGATAGGACTTCTCTACAGTACTTGTAATAGATATGTACAATTTATATTCTCGCCTATTCTCAATTAATAAAGAATAGCATTGGAAGCGATACAGATTATGATGCAGTTGTGTTCGGCATGTGCTATGGAGAACATATTGTTCGAGTAGGTACCGAGGAACATCCACAGTAGTGTCAGATGACTAGATAATGACTAGAAGTTAGTTGCATCCTTTTAATTGTTTTAATAATTTCATTTGTGAAAGTCTTGTTGTGATATGAACCAGTAAGACTTCACTGGAAATAGAGATGTATTTTAATGATGGACAATTTGCATGCGTTGGGTGGGCTTGCAGTGATATTTGGATTTTAGTGGTTACAAGTGCCTCGACATCTACATGAAAAATAAATTAAAATTCGCGTTTAATTTGAGCACTCTCAGGTAAATTGATGGAAAAATGAGAGAGGGTAACCAGAGGGGTTAGTGTCAGTGTATGGCTGCTACGTGAGGTAGTATTAACCCTGGTTTGCTTAATGCAGATGGAAAAGATAAATAACACTGTAATTCAGCGTACAAATGTAAAGTATGCAGGTGCTGCAGGCACCATTGATGGGCATATCTTGAAGACTTACCATTTTTGAAAAAGCTCACTGAGACTGCTAAAGCAGGGAATTGTAGCTGGAGCAGATTGAGGCAGGAACAGGTAAGGAAAGGACAAGGTGGTGAAGGAAAAAGAGGAGAATAAGCAAAGCTGGCAAACCTGGAGTAGTTAGGAGCAGAGATAACTGAGTAGCTCAGTCCAGATCTTCATCTCTGTATTCAAGTTATCCTGTAGCTGCCATTGCTCTTGAAGAGACTGCAAGATGTAGGGCTTTTTAATTGTTTTTCACTCATCTGGTCACTTGTGTGTTGTAGCTCTCAAAGGCTCGAGTTAGGTTTGTGTTGTGTAAGTACGTGGGAGAAAAAAAAAAAAGGACTTGTGCTCTATTTCAGCACTGGGCTTAGCCCCACTAACCTTTTACTGCATGTCAGTTGATCAATTATAGCTGTCCATGCGTGCGAGCTTCGCCTGAAGCAAATTCAAAGTAATTTGAGTCATCTTAGTTTTCAATGAAGCAGGGCAAAACAACTCAAATTATCCTGCCTTTGCCATGGGCTAAGAGCATGCACACCGACAGCTATGATGGATCAGAAGTAAAATATTGGTGTCGCTAAGCCTAGAAAATTTTAGCACTTAACTCAATTGGAGTATAGTTAAAGCAGCACGCTGCGGGGAATCTGTACGCATTTATATTGGCATGGAAGTGTTTGTGCTGCCACAGCTACTTCTGTAGGTAGGGATATAAATACTTCAGCATAAAGCGTCTTTGTTCGGGTTATAGCTGGATTTGCATTCAAATTCTTATCAATAGAGCTTATTGGTTTAAAAAATTAAAAGTGTAACCTACTGAACTTTCTAGTATAGCTCATGTCTCAGGTATCTTTGTTATGTTAAAATAGTCTGAAATGAGATTTTTGAGGAGCTGTGACATTTTGTCTTCTAGCATTTCAATTATGAGCTGCCAGACTTAATTACCTTAGAATTGTTATCCTACGTGATTTTTAAAGTGGAAGTTGGAAAGTATGCTCTCTAATGGAAAGCACGATTGTTATTCTACCAGTTGTTCATGGTGAAGACAGATATGCAAGACTCTCTTGTCAAAGTTT